GAAACCTGGCTTTCATTCTTAGACTTACAGGTGGTCCAAAGCAAGCAGTATATGAAGAGTCACAAAAAAAAAAAAACAGTACTTACAGTACATCCAAGTAAAAGTGTTTTTTTTAAAAACATCTTCCAACTAAGCACATGGGACAGCAGCAGTATTTCAGTTTATCGCTATGATGTTCCAGTCTTCTGTCAGGACATGTAATGATGCAAAAAAATAATTTAAATATTGCATTTTGAAGTCCAGAAAAAAATGTTCTGAAAAAAACAAGAAAAGAAGAAAAATAGGTCAGGATGTTAGAGGATATCATGAGCCTGACGGGAAATTATTCTGTCTTCATCTGTTTGCTTTGTGCCTTTGGAACCTCAAGATGTGGATCTTGGGACATTTACAGATGCAACACTTCATTTGCTTTCACATACACACAGAAGTAATTCTTTGTGTTTTGAATAGCACATGCTTTTGATTTATGTACGTGTGTTTTTTTATTTTCTCACAGAATGAGTCAGCAATTCTTATTGAAGAGCAGTTGCTCTGTCTGTTGGATGAATGTGAGCAGACAGAGAGATGGAACCAGGAAAATCAGACGAATGAAACTGCGCCATCCGAACCTTATAACATCCAACTAGTTCATCTGAATTACTGCTTTCAGAACACATCACTATTGTTTAACTTATAGTGGACTACAAATTTCTTAAAATGCAAATATGAACATAGTTTCAGGAAATAACACTTATTTTCAGTTTACCTTCTTGTATGCCCCATTATCAGAAATAAAGCAAAGAAGTAACACGTCTGACGCAATACAACAGTTTTTAATGGTTAAAATCTCACGTTTTTTTAAACATAATTGACTGGGTGGAATATTTGATATCTCTCATTATGACCTGTTGCCAAGATAACCAGCTCTGGCCACACAACCTGCAGCTCAATTAGCTGCAGCTTACTGTTCTGTCAAGTAACACAAAGTATAATTTCAGTGGTACTGCTGTAGATGTTTTTAATGTAGTTTCCTGGACCAATATAAAATCACCATTAAGAGCAGGTATCACTTAATGACCTCCTCAATATGCAGTCAAGCTCGCTACATTCCTGCTAATGACTTAATCATTTGACATTGTAAAATTGTCTGAACTGGCCATGACATGTTTTTAAAATCTGAAGTGGTTTTTACAAGGTTTCCTTCTATTTTTAGGTACTGATAAATTCTTTAAAAAGCTGCTTATTCTTTCTCCATTTTCTTCTTCTTTATCATTGCTGCACGATTCTATGACTATAGGAACAAACAGACAATTAATAATTTGAAGGTTTGTCTTTGCTCTTATTCCACCAGCATCCAAGCTGACCCCAGTGTTTCTATACAAGTGATCAGAGCAAGAAATGGTATATATCGGTATGCAAACACTGTTTGTTCCAGCTGCTTTATGAAGTCTCCGATACTGAGTTCAACCATGCAGGAGCCTTGGTGCAAGTACGCTGCCCACATAGTCCCGGTACAGCAATTCTGTCAAAGGTCACCACGGTTTAGGAACCTTTGCATTGCAAGAATGGTAAGGATGTTTTCCAGATACCCCCTGTAAAATAATCTCTAATATCTGACTATTCACATACTGGCTGAAAAAGCATGTCATGGTGAGATCTTAGTCTGGTATTAAGGGCTTTTGAATAATAGTCTGCTAGATAGACTTATATGCAGTAAATATATTCATAAAGTTTTTCATATCTATCTTCATAGTTTGTTGCCTTTAACACAAGACAGGGCTAAATTGAACTTAATGGGAAGGTTGGTAATTCCCTGCTGTGCTTTAAACACAATATTTTCCGCCTCTACTTATATTGAGGTGGTGCCATTAGTAACAGCTAATTAAATTGGACCCAAACTCAGCCTTTCATATAAATTGACTCCACTTGCAAAATGCAGTACATTATTCAATAATATGCTCTGTGGTTATTCAAGACATTTTCAGAAGCAGCTTATACAGCTTCTTTTTTTTCTATGCCTTCATGGTTTACACCTGAATAATGTGTTTCCTGGCACTTAAATACCTACTGAAAAGTTTATTCCTTATGCCTCAGACACAAATTTTTACCCCATCGAAATGGCAGGAAATCCTTTTGACCCAAAATGTTATTCAAAATGAACAATTTCAGTAATATTGAGATGACAATACTATACTGTTTGATAAGAAATCTAACATACCTCCACTCATTTAATGGACAATATAAAACATTTGTCTTTATTCCATGACATGCGTGCATTTTTGTTTTCTCATATGTTACCCACACAATAAGTGTTTTTGAAATCAGAAACAGTATACTGCTCATTTTTGGTAATGGAAACCTAGTGAGCTCACTCTGGCAAGAATGAGGTCATCTCTAATGTAAAGAGAGACACACAGCAAACAGACATAGTCTGGGGTTTAGATAGCAGTTCTTTTTGTGAAAGCTGCTGGAATTCTGCTTGTAGATGATTAATTGGTGGAGTCCTGTGTATAATTCTCCGATACATCTAGTTATGTATGAAAAACAAGAAACTTTTTATCATACATAAGAGCAGAAAAATTATCTGATCTCCTCAAAGTTCAGGAATCCTTTACTGCATTCAAACCCTATTGACCAAAAACAATTGCTTATATGTGTTTTGAAATGTTTGCCTTGTGAAGTGATGTGTCGATGTGTAGAGTCATGCTGCATATCATTGCATTTCCTTCAGTAGACTACAAAGGATACACCCTTTCATCAGGGACCTCTTAGACTCTGAGCAGATACCAGTCACCTGACACAGCGTTATTCTTATTTTTAAATCCTTTACTTAAGGAAGTACCATACATCAGGCAAGGCAGCCCACTCCCCTGCAACTCCCAGCAAAATCCCCTTCATGAAGCTACCATATTTTCTTACTCTGACCCCACCTTTTTACTGGATCACAGGGTCTGACCAGAAGATGATGCTTCTCTTTACATCTTAATGTCCCCAATCATGACAGAATATTTTAGTAGAAAGATTTATGTTTAAAAAGGAATTGTAGGGGACCAGCCAAGGCCCCTTCAAGGAAAGTGGGGAAATTTTGAATGGCTCCTACTGCAATTCAAATGATTGCATTCCCTCCACAGCATCCATTAAGGGCAATAGAGGCATGTTAATAAACCCGGAGGCAGGAAAATAACTTAAACATGCAGGACAGTAGGTCCTGAAAACCAGGTTGAAAAGCCCTGATCTAGAAGATTGTGAAGAAAAGCCCTTTCCAGAGTTTTGGAAGATAATTAGAGGTTGTGAGCTGTATCTGGAGACAGTTTAACCTCCATACATACATATATATATATATATATATATATATATATATATATATATATATATATATATATATATATATATATATATATATATATATATATATATATATATATATATATATATATATATATATATATCAATGACATAGTAATGAGTGCTGCTAAAGAATCTTATGAGGACTAAAGAGAAATCAAAACTGACCTCAAATGCTTCCTGGAAACTGTTTTACTTCTCAACTTGTCATGAAACAGGACAAATGGAACCAGTATTCAAGGTAAGATAAGCAGTGGGAAAGTTCAAAATGTTTATTAACACAAAGCAAAACACTACAGATGTGGAGCTGTGGGATTTGCAGACTGCAGCAGCTGCAGGGGGCACCATCCAATCACTGACACTCTGGAGGGAGAAACACAGGTAAGCAACCATGATCGTCTGATTGGAGATGATTATCTGTGAGTCCCCTACCTGGTTTAAAAGTTCAGCCCATCCTCTCTAAGGAAGGCAGAATCCAGCTGATGGAATGCTGCAAAGAGTGTCCTCTTTGCAGCATCCTCTGTGAGCAAGCAGGAATCCGATCCAGGTCAGGGAAAACAGAGCCGACAGGACAGTTCTGGGATCCATGAGTCCGTAGCCCGACCAGAAACAGACAGATCCAGGAATCCACAGAGCGTTAAGGCAGGTTCAGAGTTCCATGAGTCCACCAGCGAGCTCAGACAGACACGCTCAGATCGAAACAGGTGGGCCCAGCGGTTGAGGGACAGAGACAGGACATGGTACCAGGATAACTGCAGATTTCTAAATTGTACTCCACCTAGGAGCAAGGATTACAGGACTTTAAACTAACTTCCCCCCCTGCCGAGCCAAACGAGGAATAGCGAGCACTCAGGGGAGAAGAGCCAGGACAACACCCCCTCTTACCAACTGGCCTCCAAGGACGAAAACTCAAAGCAAGAAATCAAACAAGTATACATACATGAATAACTAAAATGATCTGGCCCCGATAGCTAGGCTGACCCGTATATCAACCAGGTGGATGAGATGAGTGATAATCAGAGACCGGGGAGAGTTAGGCAGGTAAGTGGACAATTAAGGTCACCTATAAGGCCAGATTGTGAGACATCTTTAGCATCTCCAAGCCATAAAGACCAATTACATATAGATGAATTTATTGCTCCTTAAGCTTTACTCGTTTTTATGTAATTTTGTTGATAATGATTTGAAATAAACTGTAAATTTACAGTCATTTTTACTATTTTTCAAGGCTGCATTTTTAAAAAGATGAAATTGTCCAGTGAGCTGTTTCCAAACGAAATTTCTTTTTGTTTTACACTTGTGTAAACAAAATGACAAATAAAATCTGTCTAAAGTCTAAATAACTGCACACTGCCAATGAAACAATATAACCACGAAAGGTAACAAATAAAATAATAAAGAAGATGGGTGCTCAGAATGTTTTCTGCCAATCATATCAGTAGAAAGTCAAGTGGAAAGAAATTTTTCCATTTATCTTTAATCTCAGGCCAAGAACTCTACGTCTGCTTAACACAAGGAATGCAACAGTTGTTCCCAATATCTTAGGCTACAGATTTTGATTAAGTCGTCTGAAAGCTCCAGCTTCCCTTTTGCATGTAATTTCTCTCTTTCTCTTTTTCTTTACCTTTCTCCCTTTTAATCGAACTACTAAAATAAATAAACAGAGATGATTCAAATAGCTTTTTTTTAAGGGTTTATTGTTCACTTGACATTACAAAGTAACAATAAATTTAGGAATATAAACAGCACTTGTAATAGAAACTATAGCACAAATGTTTATAGAAAAGTTTCACTAATAATCAAAGACAAACAATAATTAAAATAAAAAAGACACCCTCATGTCAGTGTGCAAAAACGTTTATACAGATAGAAACTTCCATAGGAGGTTACACTTCAAGATAAATTATTTAAATAGCATATATCTACACAAATTACATAAAAAACAGAATAATTTATCAAAAGGAACAAGAAATACAGACTGCAAAACATCAGTTTAATCCTTTTCCATTTCCTGTACTACAAAAATATCTTATATACAGCATATTAATGATACTAAAGTCCAAAAAATTCTATACTCTGTTGCTAAAAATTGTGGTTCTCGTGTTTGCTGGCCTCAATGAAAAGATGAGGTAATATTTGTAGAGAAAAGGTTTCCTTTCTTCCCCCCATCTTTCAAACAGTGAAATTCAGGCATGCCATCATGCACACTGTGCAGAAAGCAGGATAACATATTTTCACTCCCCATAATTAGAAGTAACAATATATATTTTGATGATGTCAACCATAAAAGGTTGCTTATAATATTTAATAATAAAGAAAGATGCTTAGAGGAGCTACAATTAAATGCTCTATGTTAAAAAAATAAAAGAAAGCAGACTGGCCTTCACTGCAATAGGTCATAAGACAAGATTTTCTGATCATTTGTGTTCCAAGCTCTCCTGCTCGCAGTCTACTTTCCTGAGAAGAGAGATTTTTGGGCTAGCCCTTCGTCTCCATTACTAACCAAGCATTGTCTGTAGCCCATGTTAAAGGCCTTGTGGAAATAAATCAATACTTAATTCTGATTGAGCTGTCTTCATGCAGTTCTTTTTTTTAGTGTCAAACATGCACAAAAACCCCACCCACCACATTCACTTATTAATAATAATAGTTATATCTTACTTTCTTTATTCCCTTAACAGTTCCTTCACAGGGCATCGCTTTCTTTTGTTACCCCATCTTCAAAATGCTAATTACTACTTTCTTCATTCTGAGTAGTTTCATCATTCAGTCCACAGCAGATGTATGTTAAAACTAAAAATTAGTATATATACTAAAAAAAAAAAAAAAAAAAAAACTACTTTCTTCCCTTTGCTTCTTTATCCATAGAGGAATATCAGTTCAGGTGTGCAAAGAAATAAAATGTGGCCCTCCTCTGATGCAGATCAGCACGGACAGATTAAAAGAGAGCCGATTTCTTCTGAGCAGAACTGCACTCACAGTTTGAGTTTCGTGCAGCGTTGATATTTTTTATTTGGCTTCAACTCCTGAGGTCCCTTTCCTTCCTCGTTAGCTCACTTACTCAACATACCTCCAATGTGCATTTTCAGAGGACATATAAATGAAACAAAAACTGATGTAGGCCTGCGCTGATTCATTCTTCCAGAAGGCTCTGGGGTGCAATTATGAATCTGGAAGATAAAACAATGGAAAGAATTGTTAAAAAAAAAGTGTGAATTATAAGAATTGTTTTTGAAGTGCCTTAATGCATATTCTTACCTCTACATTCATATTTGAGGTCTGAGAAGTAAACCATCTCCTGAGAGAAGACATACAAGCCTAGTCGCCCACCAGTGTATGTTTTGTCATAAATGTTTCCAGAATCAGCCATGATTCTCTTGCCTTCATACATGACCACTCTGAAAGATAAATATAATAACATACTGTTAGTCTTGTGTCATTTTGGGTAAGAATTGCAAAATATTTAAGCTAAATCAGATTTTGAATTCACCTAATAAGCCCAGTCTTGGGTCTGTGGGTAAGGTGCCATCTATAAGCGGTAAAGTCCTTCCAGCCGATATTCTTGGGGTCGTGCCACAGAGTACGGACCTGAAAATCAAGAGTTGCAAGAATATAATGTTAGAATAATATGAACCAACACTGAATCATTTCTGAAATCTTGGGTCAAAGAGTATGTCTTACTTGTCCTGGGGTGTCTCCAGTGTGCCACAGAGCATTTCTGAGGTGTTCGCCTGGCCCCGTGGTGGAGTTCACAACTTTAATTGACAAACCAGAGTAACCTTGAGCTCTAGTGGGTGTGTGAGACCAGTAGGTCTGTGTGATCTGTTTCCACATCACTGTGTAGAAGCGGGAGCTGGACTGATAGCCGAACACAAAACCGGCATAGTCATCATCTCTGTCAGTGTTGATGAAGAATGTTCCACTGAAATCCACGGCACTGAACTCATCATAACCTAAAGTGGAATTATCACAGATTAAGACAGCTACTACTTGTGGTCTGTAAAACTGCACCAATATGCCTCTTTATGTATTACTTACCGACAGCAATGCCGGGGTCACAGTTGACAGTCTGCACCAGCTCCTTGCCTTGATGCCTGACCACCCAGTTGGGGTCAATCTGAGAGGTGCCTTTCGGATCCAAGGGAACCATTTGGAATCTTCGGAAATCGGTTTCACTGATGGCAAAGTTCTCAGGGCACACATCATGGATATCAAGGACATTATCTTGGTCAAAATCATCCTTGCAGATATCTCCACGACCATCACCTGCAAAGAAAGTTTGGACATGGAATTAGAAAAATAAAATACAACAACAAACAACCTCACATTGGTATTAAAAAGAGAAGCGGCTACATATTTTTGAAAAGTTTACCATCAGAATCCAGTTGATCAGGATTAAAGGCCAGTCTGCAGTTATCTTTATCGTCAGGAATACCGTCGTTGTCATCATCATGGTCGCAAGCATCTCCTTTGCCATCTTTGTCATGGTCTGCCTGGTTGGCATTGGGGATGTAGGGGCAGTTATCCAAGTTGTTCTGGTGACCATCCTCGTCAATGTCCTGGTTGTTATCGCATTTGTCTCCAACACGATCTGCATCAGAGTCAATCTGTGGAAGAACCACATCCATTTATGATGAGTTTTCCCAAAGAGAAGCTCTTACTTTTCACTGCCCTCTTTGTGAATAAATATTTGACCTTTTTAGCTATACAAGCAATGTCCAAAATCAGCACATCTTTTAAACATTTATATTTTTAGCAAATAGGTTGATTTGATAGCCTTTATTCAAACATAACCTTACCTGGTCTGGGTTGTGTTCGAGGGGACAGTTATCACAGTGATCTCCCACGCCATCCCTGTCTGTGTCTCTCTGGTCGACGTTGTACACATATGGGCAGTTGTCATTCTCATTTAGAATGCCTGTTGAAGGAAAAAAAATATATATTTTTTCTTTTTATACCCTACACCCTTCTTCCTAGCTAATTAGTTTAAATTTGCAGAGATTACTTACCGTCACCATCAATGTCGATGGCACATGCATCACCTTCTCCGTTGTTGTCTGTGTCTGTTTGATCAGTATTAGCCTCAAACACACAGTTGTCACAGCGATCACCAACCTCATCCCTGTCTGCATCATACTGGGCAGGGTTGTACACTCTGGGACAGTTGTCCTATCATAGAAAAATAACATCTTAATAAGCAAAGTGGGCCATGACTACAGTAGAGGAGCCTTTTAAAGGAAAAAAATCTATCCTTTTCCAGTACTTTTTTTTTTATTTGGCTGAAACTTACTATCCAACTAGTGTTCAAAAATGCATTTTTCATGCCCAACTTTCCAAATCCATTAAAAAGAATTATAGGCAATCAGCAATCTCATCCTCAATACTGGCTTTATCTGAAAATTACAGTAAATTTTCCCTGTGCAACTGACTTTCCACTATGACTCTGGTGAAAGCACACAAACTGAAGCACTTTGCATTCCTATTTCCCAGAGGAAGGATGGCTGCAGCTGATTGCTATGTATGGTCTCAAGGGAAAGCAAAACTTCAGGCTAAAAAAACTCCCAGATTACTCACCCTATCATCGGGGATTCCATCGTTGTCATCATCATGGTCACATTCATCCCCAAAGCCATCTTTGTCATGGTCTTCTTGCCCAGAGTTGGGAAGGTTGGGGCAGTTATCCTGCAAAGGAACAAAAGAGAGGTTAAGAAAGCAATGACGATAATAATATGGTGTGCATGGGTCATAACAGTCTTTGGTGCTTCTAGCCATGTGGGGTATAGTTACCTTTTTGCAGTGATAAGTGGCGTTCTCCACACATGGCAGATCAGTGTTAGGCCATCCATCCAGGTCACTGTCCTCTCCGCAAATCCGCCCATTCCCAGCATATCCTGGCTTGCATTCACAGCGGAACATTGACTCGGAGTACACGCCCAAATATATGCAATTTGCATTTTTATGGCAGTTGTGGCTACCGTCCTTGCAAGGGTTGCGGGGAGTGCAAACCTGAAGAAATTATAGAGCGTTAAAACTTGCAAGCTTTTGATGTGCATGCCAAAACCAAAGCAAATAATAACAACAAACAATCCACACCTGTTTTTTAGCAATTGCCTGTTCCACTCCTCTTCCAAAGGGTTGGGGACCAGAGAAACGTGCAGGACAGGGGAGGCAATTGTAACCTGGCTCAGTGTTTTCACAACGATGGACTCCATTATGATAATGGCAAGCATCCGGGACCTCTTTACATTCATCAATGTCCGTGCAGGTGACCCCATTACCAGTATAACCAAGTGGGCACTTGCCACACTTGAATGAGCCGTCACGGAAGCTTGTGCATTTTGTTCCAGGGAAACAAGGGTTGGAAAGACAACCATCTGTGTGCAAAAAGATATTGTTGCATTAGGTTAAAATCACTGTAAGGTTATGATGATTTATCTTTTCTTATTATTTCCAAAGCTTTGACACATACCAATAGGACAGTCCTGTTTGTTGCAAACTTGAACCATGGTAGCATCGCCAACACAATCCTTTCCCCCATATTTGGGAACAGGATCATTGCAGAGACGATTTCTTGTTTGGATTCCTCCACCACAGGTTGCAGAACAGGTATCCCATGGTGACCAAGGCCCCCATCCTCCATTAACTGCAAATTAAAAACCATATCAATAAATCTGAATGAAAACTAACGTAAAAGAAATTCAAAACTTTTGTAATGGTGTCTAACTTACTAGGGCAGGGTGACATCTGGCAGACTTTGGTGTGACGTCCCTCTCCCTGGCAGTCTCTGCCACCCATCTGCGGCGTTGGGGAGTTGCAGAGGCGGATCTGTGTCATGACCCCTTCACCACAGGTCACAGAGCACGAAGACCAGGGTGACCAGTGGCTCCAGCCTCCGTCCTGTTTAACTGTAAAGCATAGCGTTCACAATTATTAAGGATTTTCACAATGTGGAAAAAATGAGAAGTTTTCTGAACTTCCTTTAGCTTACATCGCTTGTCGCATTCTTGCAAGTAGCAATCACGGGTCTGGACAGAGGTGCCCTCACACTTGCTGTTGATGCGGTCACAGGAACGTCCACGCTGCTGGATGCCACGACCACAAGTCACAGAACAATGGGTCCAGTCAGACCAGGCAGACCAGCCATCCTCTGCATAATCACTGGCTGTAAAGGAGAGACATTAGGTTTAAAAAGGCTTCAGATACTATGAGATAAAACCGATTTGATGGGATTTAATAAGAAACTTACGTGTCCCACAGCGAGGGCAGCATTCCCCATCAGGCACAGTAGCATTGGCACAGGGGATGAGGGGACAGGATATTTTGCGACACACGGTTGCAGAGTTCTAAATGGTAGAATAGTTGAATAAGTACAAAGTATACAAAACAAGACTTGACTAATCCTAATCCAAATCTAGGTGCTGCGTTCAAGAAAAGTGTTATGTCATTAGACATATTACAAATCTGCTATGTGCATAAAGAACCTCAAGAGATCTTTATTAATGATCTCCTGGTAACTGCTAAAAGACATTTCATGATTAACCCTCATAAGAAGAAGAAAAGGGCGCTAATGTGACCACTTTCTTGACATTATTGCGGCAGACAGCTGGCTCCAAGGTTGTGTAAAGGTTGCATTCCTGGAAGTGTTCTCACACTCACCTGACAGGTGCACTCTGTGCAGCCATCCACTGTCCATTCATCTTTGTCTTGGTGCACAATGCCGTTATGGATGCAGATCCCTCTATGAATGTTTATCTGATTTTTCAGTAATTCGCTATCTGTAGACTAGGGGAAGAAAAGAAAAGAGCTTCAGAGTAAGAAAAGGGGCTGCTTTGGAAAGAGGATAGAGAAGTTTAACTTTGCCAAGGTTCCAGTACAAATGAATCACTGATTAAGACATTGCTAGAATCTAGTAGAGCACTGCAAATGTGACCAATGGGCCAAACATATTTGTGTATTCACAGGGGTCTCATTAAGGATTTGGCTGGGGAAAGCCATTATGGCGACAAGTGACTACACATTATAAATGTGCTAATTCAAAGCAGGCAAGGGAAAAAAAGTGAGTACATGATAAAAAAAAAAAAAACAGATAATGATGGTCGCCTGAGCATACCACTTTTTGGAGTTCATTCGACAGCTGCTTGACAATCACATTGAGTCCCCTGAGCTCCTTAAACATGCTGGCGATGTCGTCACATGAGAAACCACAGACAGTCTGCAGATCTGCTTGAGGACAGGCCAATAAATTAGCTCAGCTTTTTAGGAAAAAAGAGTACATTTTGGAGTAAAGATTTTCACATTACTGCTAAGAGAGGAGAGGTCTTACCTTTGGATTTGTGGCCAGTATAATCTGTCCTAATGGCAGGGCTGGAACCATTGACTGGATTATCCAGGGTCATCATTTGTGTTAAGGCAGCTGCACATAGATGAGAGGATAGGGGAAAAGTTCAAGTAAGAACTGACAAATCTGACATCAATGGCATCAATTAAGCATCTACGTATAGACCATTGTTTGTAATGCTGTTTAAATCTAAGGTGGTCTTAATGATAAAAAAACCCCTCTATGTTATGTTTTCAGTTATAAAAAGGGCTTCTTTCTATAATATTAACAACGTTAAATATGATATGTTATGTTAATTGTGTTTTAAAGAAGATTTTCTCACAGACAAATTTCCCAATTTTGTTCTGGACAGATAAGAATGGTTAAATGGGATAGAATTTTGGCTGTGAGAATTTAAAAACTGAATTTGACTACATCGTAATTACAAAGCTTAGATTGGTATGTGTAAAACTGACATTTAGCCTGGTTTTTCAGCTTGGATTAACTTGGCTCTTTTTGACTAATTAAGTACCTTCAGATGAAATTTGCTGTGACTGTGTTCTCATAAATAAACTGCATTTAACTGAAACTGCCTCATGCATTTTTCTCTTGATTGAGTTCCCCTGCCTCTCCCTAATGGAATAGCGCCCCGGGTGGTGAGCAAAATTTCACATATAAAATCCCCATTGATAACTGAGGTCATCCTATTGCAGTTATTGCATGATTTTCAGTCTTACCTCCACTTTTACATCCCTTATTGGTTAATATGGCATCTAGAGTGGTTCCGAAGACGAAATGGACATTCTGAAGCACCCCCTAAAACATGATAAAAAGAAAACAGTTTTAGATTTATAACATTCATTCCAGTATTAAAAGTTATTCAAACTTAGTAAGAACTTTGATCATTTTACCATAAACTTGTCCTTCACTGCTCCTTTCCCAATCCTCAGCCTGGCTCTATCTGCCACCTCCCTGGACAGTAAAGTCTGGATTGGCACATCCAACTCTGACACATTGATCTCTTCACATCCCACAAAAAGCTGTGCCCTGTCCTCCTGGACGAACAGTGTGAGGTTCTTCCAGTGCCCATTGGCCAAGCCTGCATCCTCAATGGAAACCAAATGTTGCTGCCTCTCGGTGGAATAGACCAGGTCAAGCGTGTTCGCCTTCCCATTAGATATGATTTCGAAGATGGGTCCGGATCCGTCAGTTTTCTCCACGGTCAGCAGACCTCCTCTGGTTTTCTTGAACTGCTTCAGGTTGAGCAGGAGGAGAAAACCCCGCTCTGCCTGGATGGAGTCCAGTAGGTCCCTGAAGGAGGCGTCGGGAACAGGGGGGATCATGTCTGCATTCAGGACCTTGTATGCGGGGCTGTATGGATCTATGCCTTTGACCAGACTCACTCCATTATGTTTTTTGCTAACTTTTGCCAGTTCAAATAGATCATACACACTGTTATCATCGCGACTCTCTGCGAACACAGAAAAAATTAGATATTTTTATCTATTAGGTAGGCTACATAAAGAATGGTTTAGCAAAGAAAAAGAAAGAAAATCCAAAAAGGATTTTAAACATGAATTAAAAATCAAATCAGTGAAAAAAAAGAATTCAACTGGTTTTGAAATCTACTAAATTATATGTAGTTGCTTTAATATAATTTTTTCATGTCCTACTCTGCTAAAACAGAGCAATTCTGTTAACGTAACTGAATACTATTAAGTAGATGCTAAAAGCAGTTGCATGATTTCTCTTTTTTTAGTTTTGTATAAATATGACACACACCATTACCAGTAAGATTTTTTTTTATCTTACCTGCCAATCTAGCACCTTGGCAACTCCAAAGCAAGAACAGAAAAACGATGCCGCTCAGCATCATCTTGCAATCTTAGAAAAATTCCAAAGAAACAGGAAAAATGACTTCAAATTCAAACCAAATAAGATCTTTAAAGATTACAATGGAATTAAAATACTAACCTTGAAATAAAAATGTGTCCAAAAGTATAAAAAAAGAAAAAAAAAGTCCTTTTTCAATTATGTGATTCCTCTTCGCAGCTCTGAAAGCAGTATTTTGGTAAAGTTGGAAATTCTTTCTTTAATCTTAGAGCCTCCGCTGTTTCCACTGACCTGCGCTTCTGTCTTAGCCTCTATTTAAACGCCTTTAGGACATTCCTGAGCTCCCGTTTGGACCAATCAAGCGCAGGATGCAGAAAAGGGACGGACTTCTTATCTTACCTCACACCCAGTCACAGTAATATCCAAGACGCACATAAGGGAGGGAGAGAGAAAAAAAGACGCATTCCTGAGCTGAATTTCCATCACCAGACAAATATTTCATCCGCGCAGCAGAGCCAAGACTTGGTGGTTTCCGGTCAGATAAAAGCTATAGTTTTAACAGATTCAGTGATGTAATAATGTTTAAATCCAATATTTAAAAATCAAGATTGTGCGTTTGAACTGATTTAGAGTAAGTCCATAAGGATGATTTAGCAGAGATGAAATTGGAGTGATGAATTCTTACACATTAAGCAGTTATTTCTCTTTTAAAAAATATTCTCTTACTTATGTTTTTAATAACTTATATTTAAGTCAGCCGAAGTCTTAGTGAATAATGATTTAAGTAATATTTCATCTATTGTTATATAATTCATGGCCACTAGGGGACTCATTGAGTAAGAACACGGTGTACTGGTCGGTTACAGAGAGAAACGGAGATATAACAAATTTCTTTTGAGATACATATGTATTATACATACAAAAATAGCCTGTATATAGAATACATCTACAACTATATCATGTTAATGAATTAAAAAAAGAAAAAATAATCTAATGAACTAATAACATTAATATTTAAAAGACATTCTTCCTTCAGCAAGTCCAAAAATATCACTTAAACATTTTCACAGAAGAAATTGAGTCTGACAAACTTAAAGACAGAAAAAAACAACAGAATCTTTAAAACTATGATATCCTCATATATATTTTCTGAGTAAAATATATATTATATATAACATATATAAATAATAATAAATACAAATGTTAGAAATGTAAATATACAGTCATATAACTCTTTTATATATGCATTTATTACTGTTTTCAAGGCTGCACTTTAAAAAATAAAATGGTCCAGAGCTGTTTTAAACTAAATTTCTTTTTGTTTACACTCGTGTATACAAAATGACAAAATAAATATGTCTAAGTCTAACATAATACATAATTTATATAATGTATATTATTATTATATGTTAGTGTAAGGATGTAAAACAGAAATGCATGACACGTAACAAAACCCTGACAAAAACAAGTTGAACCATTTTTTTCCTCAGCTTTAACTTAAAGTTAAAGAAGTGCAGAGAGCTCGTTTTTAAGTAAATGTTATAACACTGCATTGTAAGAATGGTGCTGACCAAAAAGTTGAAAAAAGATTTGTAATAAGTCTAAAATAGCTAGAGTTAAAATTATACACATTATAGCTGTCAACATGGTGCACTATGGGCAGATTTAATGACTAAGATCCTTAGTCATTAAATCTGCCCATTTTTTAACCTTCATCAAACACCTGCATTATTGTGCATTGATCCTTGAATCACCATAGATTTTTTTCTTTTATAAACTCTTTATCTTGTTGTAGTAATTAGGTCATTAATACTCAAAATGTTAACTGGTATAGCAACAAAAAAAAGAAAAATATTTGGAATTCAATAGAAAAGAAACCAACAGTTTTGATTATTGAAATTTAAAACTCAGGACTTTTCCTACTCAACCAAGAATCACCAAGTATTGCTATCTTTTTAATACTTTAGCCTTTTTTAAGATAAAAGTAATTACAATTCATTACTATTTTACTTAGTTTTGAAAAAGAAAAGAGTTTCTAAGAATCAGTAGAACACGCACCTATGCTCTAATTTCTTAGAAATCCAGACGTTGCTGCTTTGCAAGGGGTTAAGGTTCATGGCTGGGCATTTAACCTCTGGCTTCTTCACTCTCCTTCTGTCCCTTTCCACCACTGAGTGAAGACAGATTTCTTGACAGAAGCTTTATTCAGTTCCTCCTTTACCATAGAAGGGATCTTTTTTTTTTTTTCTGTGAAAACTGGTGTTTGCTAAGTGAATCACACCAGCCTGTGGACCAGTGGAGGCAGAGGAGAGCTGGAAAGAGTTAGCGTGTGACTGAGACGAAAAGCTTCTGGGGAGACAGGAGAACACATAGACGCCTGCACGCTGTGATGATTTGTGCTAACAAAAATGAAATGGGGGGCGCCTGTCTAAAAATAGACAACGGGCTTCTGACCGTGATGAGGTGCAACATGTGGGTGCCTTTTCCCCAGTCAGGGTACGCAGGAACACACATGTTCCATTAGCAGCGGTGCTTCTGTAACATGTATGATTTACAACATATAGCAGTCACCTTAGTGAAACACAATCTTGCAGGAAGTGATGGGGCAGCAGTGAGGTTTCACAGGTCAGACTGTTATCTGAGTGGAAAATGGCTTGCGGGCTGTGAAATGGGATCAAGGTGGGACAGTTTAATGGAAAAAGATTTCTGGAGCTATCATAGGTAGGTGTTACCAGCCACATCCCTCTATGGGCATTCCTGTGAGCTCACAGTGTGGGAAAAGACCCACCAAGATCTAATAAATACCTGCTTTACACAGCCAGAGCGGAAACAGCCCATAGATAGCAAGTGTTTATCCTGAGTGTGTTCCCTGGTATCTTATTCCATCTGTTGAAACTTAGAACAATGTCTGTAGGTGGGAGTATTTGTCCTTAATCTCAGAAGATGTCTGAACCCGTCCAGACAGAGCTTTCTCCTAATATTTAGTCTCCATTTTCACTTTCAAGTGCATGTTTAGCAAAAAAAAAAATAAAAAAATTGAAAAGAATAAAAACACTAAAAATTAATTTCATACAGATTATTTTACATCACACAATTTTTTTATGTAAACATTTTAACAGTTTTGAACCACCAACAGAATGAGTGTTTATAGTTTTAACACCACTACGTGTTTGTTAATATTTATGCTTTCAGAAGCCAAAAAATAAAACACAAACATTTGAAACAAGCCAGCCTGATATGTTTAGGAGTAACCAAAGCTACTGGGACTGCTTTAAATCATCTTGTGGAACGAAAAGTATGAAACTCTACTTGTATCGGCACTTAGAAATTTTTCCAAAGCACCGACTTATAGGGAAATTAACAACAAGCTCAGACACATTATATCGGTGTTGAAAGCTACTTTGATAACAGTTTGTCTTTTTTTTTCTCTGTCGTTTAGTAGAGTGTTTAAGATTGGACATGCATAGAGAGGTATTGAAATTACTCTTGTTTGGCATTAAGACCACTGACAGGTACGATATGTCGTCAAAGCTCTACTTGATCAACAAAACACTTAGGAAAAAAATCCATGCTTGAAGCATTTCCATATACTGTGGGTATTACTGGGGATCAGTTACATGACAGCAGCATTCACGTCAGCAGTCACACCTTCTTTCTGTAAACTCCTGAAACTGACTAATCTAGCATTTATTTGATATTTTTTTGGAGCTTTTGTTTAAACTAACACAAATTGGCACATTGTGTAGAAGATGTGGTAAAATTATATATATATATATATATATATATATATATATATATATATATATATATATATATATATATATATTAAGATAGGTAATTAAATTTTGTCTTAATTTCCCTTTGCTGTTTTCCCAGGTTAAAATCTAGTGCAATCAAATATATATATAGAAGTCACCTGATTAAGATGTCCAGTTGAAGGACATTTTTGAACAATCAGCATCATGAATTTAAAGTCTGGGATAAAGGGCAAGTTTAAAGCAGAGTTAAGTTAAAAATAATATCCAAGACATTTGCCTCTTCAATTTATCATCTACAAATGAAAAAGTAGATCAGCATTGATGGGAAGATCGATGGAGATGTTATCAGACAATCCTTCAACAAAACATGTTAGAGGTTTCATATCTAGAAATGATATGAAAGCCCAAATGTTCAACCAGAGCTAAGATGGAGGGGTTATAATAAAGATGTCAGAGTCTAAATCTGATTGAGAGTTTGTAAAAAGATTGCAACATTTATGTTCATGAACGTTTTTCATTTAATCAAACTGAGCCTCTGCCATTTTGCAGGTACTTAAAAGTAGCACAAAATGTATACCTCTACATATGCTATTATGCTGGAGACATACCCAAAAGACTTGCACTTGTAATTCTTTCCACTTTACCGTCACAGTTAGTCTCATATGATCCAAGGAAAAGGAAGTGTTTGGATGGTAATGTGACAAGAAGTTAAAAGTTTTAAGTAGTAGGAACACTTTTGCTAGGTACAGTAGGTAGATTAATTCCTCTTTATTGCAATTCTCAGGGTAAGATATGGTGATGACTGCAGTTATCACAGGATACTCCTGGTTAAAATGTACATTTAAGCCAGCATAGAGTCTCTGAGTAAGCCAATATGCCACCAAGGCAACAACTATAAGTATTCTACAAAGTAAACAAAAATGTACTTAAAACAATAATCTCAAAGTCCTTTAGTAATCCATACAGATGTGCAGTCTATGATTTTTTTCAGTAAAAAGCTGAAAAGAGCTGCACAACCATCCATTTTGGTTAAGGCTAAGTTTTTCTCCTAAGATAGTTGAAAAAAAAACAAAATGGGAATTTCATGGGATAATTACTGTAAAATGTGAAACTAGGGCACACAAAGGTGCCTATTTCATGCACTAATTGAAGGGTTTCCATGCAAATTAGCTTTTTTTTTTCTCTGCATTTTCAATATATTCTGTGAAGACTTTCAAACAATAACTCATCCTTCAAGAACATATTCTCCATGCATGCATTTATTGAGTATGCAATAATTCAAATTGACTAACAAAAATTGCAAGTTATCACTGTTTAACATATTTCTCAAAACTCTTTAAAAATTCTTTGTAACTTCAAATCAAAGTCTCCTTGTATAAAGACATATGCAAAGCTAAACCAACCTAGATGGGGTTTTTCCATCTTGAATTGGCATCAGGTTTTTGTAACTGACAGCATGGCGAAAGCATGCTTATAATTAAATGATGGACAGTTTATAAGTTTCCCCTTATGATATAAATTACACAGCCAAAGTTATAAC